CCCCCCGCCGGTGATTTTTGTACGGATCCCCACTGCCACAGGCCCTACAATCAGTGGGGATCCATGGAGTCTCTTTCAACTACCACCATTTTATTCTATAGGGTCTTGGCATTCAGAAAATATATAATGTTGGGGGGTTTTACGTCATTTTCAGGCCTAAAATGTGGAATATAACATGGGTGCAAAAAATGAAAAAAGGGCCTCAGTCATGAAGGGGTTAATCAAGGCTTAAAACATGTTTATATTTCATAGTAGAGCCTCTCACTGAATCTTTTAAACTTAAAGTAGTATGGGCACACAATTATTATGGGTCTGTAGTTTAGAAGGTCATTTGCGTATCGTTGGTACTTAAGGCCTCATGCACACTGGCCGCCTGCATTCGGTTTAGGTAAACGGAACAGTCGATGTGACAAGGCCAGGTACTTTATTTGCTGTGCCTACCTAACAACAGATTTCTTCTTTATTTCAGATAAATTAACTAGTAATAATCATGGCTTACTAAATGAAAAGTAAATGCTGACGACTTCTTATCCACCTCCTGATGATGCCTTTGTAATTCTGTGTTTCATTTATTTATTGCAGGAAGATTTCCTGGACCTCACGGTGGCTCTAAAGGACATGGGCAGCTTGGAGGAGTCTTTATGCAGCATGTATGTGGAGGAAGAAATATTTGATGGTGACAATCTTTATCGTTGTGGAGCTTGTAATAAGCTTGTTCCTGCAGCCAAGGTAGATATAAGTAGTATTACATTCTTATTCTTTTGATAGTAAAGTTAATTAAACTTTACACATTTAAGTACATTTTAAAACACTTGCTCTTGATATCACTGGAGCCGGTTTATTTTTCTCCTCCCACAGCTTCCTGCCAGAGCGTGGTTACTTTTCTTCTCCATGGTCCCTATGTGTGCTGAAAAGTAGCCGCCCCCTGTGCTGGTTCATGTGTAGGACTACAACATGCTGGGGGTGTGTCTTCTCAGTCTCCTCCCACAAATCCTCCCCACTTGACTCTGCAAGGAGCTGGGATTTCTTCACCTCTCCCACACTAATATTTCACCAGCCTCATACTTTCTTCTGAGTCTCGGCTCACATGCTGAACCTGGTCACACATTCACAGAGGATATGGCTCCTACATTTGAAATAAAGTTGTTTTTCTTTGTAGATTGTTGTAGATGTGTTGTAAGTAGTTTTGATTCCGAGCATTGCAGAGGAGATTACAAGCAGTGACATTGTCACAGTGTGTATAGTGAGGGGAGGGAGGAGGATGCAGCTGTGTGCAGTGAGAGATGATTCCTCTCTGCCTCATGGGAGTTGTAGGCAAAGAATGATGTGCACTTAACCAGAATCAACGTGCACAGATGGGAAGTATGAGTGGAGAGAAGAGACACGGGAGCGAGCACAGCAGACTCTCTAAAAGGATTAAAATAGTAAGACTTTATTTTGAAACATAAATAAATGTGGCTTTGGAGAATGTTCATTGTGCAGATGTGTATAAGGAACAGAAAGCTGAGGGTTTTGTGTCGCTTTAAGGTAAACGTGTCAGCATTTTAAAAATTGCTATTACATTTTGGGTTTCTAGGAGATTTTTTGTTTCATCAGCCCCTCAGTACTTGGGTTGAATTTGCTGGGCTGGCCAGTCCTAAAAAGACTTGCAGTTGTTTGAAATTTATGCCAGCTGTAGAATATTTTCCTTACAGTGGAATATCGATTTAAAAAAAAAAATGGTGATCCTTTTAAATCCCTTACCTCACTTATAGGTATGAACAACCTCCTTTTTAAGAGGACTTTTAGAGAGCTTTATTGGTCTTAGCATGATGCAAAGACACATAAATAGCAAAGAGTAAACATTTTCCATGTGACAAATCTGTATTATAGTTCATTTAGATTGTTAGAAGAGTACACTGTGTCAATTATATGTGTCATTTGTGCAAATATATGCCCTCTCTCTGTAGGCATTGTTTGAATGAAGATCTAATGTTTGCTGGTGCAATTATGTTGAGAAAGTCAACAGTTTCTGTGGGGTGTACTTCTTCATATGACTGTATATATGTCATAACAAGGGTATTACATTAATACACTTTAAGATCATTTACAATCTTAAAGTGTTTATGTTTCCAAACCTATCTCTGCTCTGCTTGGAAGATTTATTTTTACTTCCTGTCCTTGTGTCAGTAACAGTTGTCACTAGAACATCTGTCCCAATTAGATTGTTTACCCTCAGCTCATGCCCTGGTGACAACTCTAAAATTTGGGATTCACCCTTATTTTCAGCCTTTGTGGTAATGGTCACCATGCCAAATAGAGGGGGTGAATCACCCCGGGGGGGGGGGGGGGGGGGCTTGTATGACAAAAAAAAAAGTGT